GACTTTTATTATTTTTAATACTAGCTCGATGTTCATTATCTCGTGGTGTCGCCAATGCTGATGCAAAGTTTGATTCGGCGGTCTACTAAGACGTGATCCGTGCGGGCGTTTGCGTCACGGTACACTGTTCACAGCTTTTTTTCTCTCTCATCATCCACAATCACAAAGTCAATCATTTTTTGTCTTGTGTAGAACTGTAATTCTTCTAGATTCGAGCTTACTATCATATCACATATAAGATAAACTTAGTATAATCGGAAAAGCCAAATGCAATTCTCATTTGCTTTTTCATCGCCGTACCTAACTCTCCAAAATGTATTGTATCTTATAGCAATACTTCATTTTATAAAAGTGGGTAATTTTTTATCACGACTGTTATCTACTCGCAAGCTCCTTTAGCCACTCGCTTGGAAAGAAGAAACTTAGCCATTTTTTTACGTTCACGTATAAAGTCAACTAAAACTGAATTAATCAATGAAATATAATATACTTATGATGAAAGTTGCAAAACCTGGTCAACATGTACAGTGACAGCAGACTTAGCATAAAATGCCGCTTTTCGTTTAAAAACAACGCGCAAGCGCAGCATCGGAGTTGGACGATGGCGGGCGGGCGGGGGGTCGCGGGGCGCGGCGGGCGCCCGCCGGAAGGCGCAATAAAGCTGCACTAATTGAGAGCGGCTCGTAAAAAGGCGATTATGTAATAAAAACGCATGAAATGCGTCTCGCGGTTTTTCCTTGGACTAATGGCTTTTTTGAGCGTCCGGGTGGACGTGTCGTAACCGCGCGCGCAGCTCTCCACAAAAACGACTTGTTATCGCAGCGTGGATACAGCTTTAATGGATTATCGCTCAAAATAATGTTGCTTCACAATAATCTGTTACTAAACTCTTAAAAACCAAACTTACAACTCTCGCGGCGAACTGTATCAAGAAACGATAGCGTAAATCGCAAATAAATATAATATCGATTTTGATGTTTGGCATATAATATATGAACAATCTGTCAAACCTTACTTATGTTGTTTCATTTGTAAGAGTTACGTTTTCCGTTTGGTGTGACCCGCCGTACGACACAACTCCAACCTAACGATTACCGAACCTAAAAAATCCATCCGTTTATGAAAAGTTATTTGTTTAATGGTTTTATTTATTAACGAGCATCGATTTTTATATAGTTCGTCCTTAAACATTGATGAAGGATTTCTGAATAAAATTACTTACAAATAATGAAGAGAAAGTCAGAAGAATTAATTTTTAATAAAATATGATTTTTATCTACATATTTACGAAAATATCAAATATATATCCAAAAAATTAACGCTTTTTCCAAAGTACACCGTTGCCACCGTACAAGCACCGGAGGAAAATTTGTACTCGTAACTCCCACAGGTCGAGACACTTAAAAGTTTACGTGTGACTGTATTCTTTTTATGATGAAAACAGAGCTCATTAAAAATATATTATGGTGTTGATAACTATTTAAATTATAAAGTAGCTTTGAAATCGATGAAATAGGTTTAAGTTTTAGCTAACAAAAAAAAAATGTAGAAGAGTTCCGTCGCCGGTACTTTTTATTGCATTTCCGTTCTAGTGATAAATTTTAAACACATAAAATTCAAACGATTCGACCAACTGAAATCAGTTTTACATCATCAAAAAAAAAGTTGTTAGTTGGCAAAGTGATTTATAGTACATTCGAATCAAGTGTATTAAACATGAAATAAATTTATTTGCTCGATTTGAAGTAAATTAGAAATAAACCGCAACGGAAACCTCAAACAAAAGCTATACGGTTTATGCGTTTAGATCGATGTCAGGAAATGTAACACGACTGGTGTCACTCGTTTTATGTCGGAAAATTTTATGTTGAAGGTGGCGTTCTCTCAGCTGACAGACAAAGTCAGCGCCATCTTTGAAATGCGAAGTAAGGTCGACAAATCAGTTGTTACGATCTTGTCGACGAGCTGGATATTGATCACGAACCGATGTTGAGTCATCGAAAATGGTCTGGGCATAAGAAAGTTTCTATGCGTGAACACCACGTAACATGACCGACAGGAAACAGTTTCCATTTGCGATTTTCTCTTAAAACGAACCGAATCTGAAAATCCAAACTATTTTTAAAGGACTGATCACGGATCATGAAGTTGGGATCTTCGACGGCAACATCATGCTATAAGATTGTAGTCGAAGCACGGGCTAAATCCACAGGCAGTGGTACACATGGTCTTATGAGATTCAAAGTAATTTGTGTGTTTGGCGGAATTGGAAAGGTATTTTTCATTTTGCCGCTAGAGCAAACCATCGATTTAGATTTGTACTGCCAGCAGTTGATGAGATTGAAGCGGCTTACGTCGATAAGGAGAGGGTCTTTCACCACTACGATAACCATACGAAGACCACGTTAGCTCCTGGACAACATTCGAGAGAACGAGTATGTTTTGATACCTCCACCTTTCAACCCTGACTATGTTCTTTCAGAATAGCAACTTTTTTAAAGATATGGTTAGAAATGAACTTCATTCATTTCGGAACTCTTTTAGCAGTGTCAGTTTACCATTCTACTGAACACTGCCAAAACTCTCATACTCGTCATAGTTTTTTTGGGGAAATTCTCACAATTTCAGATCATCAATAAATATTACCTTTGTATTAAAGATAAACTAGCAGGATGTATTAAAAAATACAAATATGGAAGTAATTACTACTCCGTTCTAAAATTTAAGCATTAATAAAACTAAGGTGCAACTTCTAATCTTTTTGATTAGGTTTTGATTTAATCTAATTGACACTATAGACCCCTACTGGAAGGCCTTTCGTACACAAGGCTATGCAAACCTTCGATACTAATGTTGTGAACTTATGTAGCGAATATCTGGTAGCGCACGGTCCGTGCACACGACATTAAATCGCAAGACGCGAGTTGCCTATTCTGCCGCTGCAGGCGTACCGGGTACACCGATACACGGCCCTTAATTAACAAAATGTCTGACACAAACCACGATGAAACTATAACTTTGGCTTACTATCTTTATCGAAAGCGAAGAAATCGTCGTAATAGAAAAGTACTGGGTTCATCCATACATAGAAAGAAATATAAAGTGCAGACTGTTTTTTGCTGCTTAAGAATTACTAAAAATAATTATCCTTTCTAGAATATTCTTTCAACTTGTAATTATACAAACAAGGACGTTTTCAATTTCCGAAACAAATTTAATATTCAACAATTGCTATAATCTTAAAAATCGTAGCGACTTTTGTAGCGGCGGTCTCGGTCAGCGAGTGCGCTTGGACAAAATGTCGGCGACGCGTGCGCGTGCGCACCTCCATGACTTTGTACCGTGGCAGTCGCTTAGAGTTCATAAGCGTCAGGTATCGAAGATTTGCGTAGCCTTGTGTACGAGGGGCCTAAATAACTTCTGTTTATAATCCAATTCGACGTTCGAATTCCGACCGATACGACGTTCACTTGGGTGAGGCTGGAATGAGCACGAAACATCGTAACTTCATTTTTATTTTAGGCTCAGATTTAAGCACTAAGTGGTTGAACACTTAAACCTTCGGCTTGTAAATAATGCCACTGGAGTTAACGACCTTCGTTCATTTGTACGAGTTTACAAGTTTATCGTTTTGTTATGTCGACATCAACAGAATGATGCGTTTGTTCTCGATTTAGTTAGAGGTTAGACCTTCAAAGCAGTTTTTTTTTGTATTCATTTAAAAAATAATTTTGAGTGTTCTTTAAATACATCTTAAATTATATTTAGGGTTTATCTCGAATGACATTTAAGAACAAACCTTAAGTATTAAGATTAGAGATAAGTTTAAGAAATCATTCTGTTTTATGGACCTTGGAAACTGGCCAAAGACTGTTGTAAGGGGAACGTTGTAACGGCAGAAATAATCTTAACCGAGACTTATTTCTGAAAATTAACCAATTTTCTTTGTTTCAGGTACGCCCTTAGCAGGCCACAATATTCCTCGAGACTGGTACGAACGCGGTTTTAAACGCTCACGGCGCCCCCACGCGTATTCATTAATATCTCAACTCAAACATGTGATCATCGTCGACCCCACCGCAAGTGGGTACTATCCTTTTTCGCGGAGGCACTCTTCGGATAAAATCGCGTCTTTAATATCAGTTAATTTTAAAACGGGAAGAGGCAAAAGGCGGCGGTATACGGCCTTTGTGCGCCGCGGCCGTATACTTGACAGGGAGCGAGCGGCGGTTTACGCACCCACCTTTATCGCTCTTATTAGCGATACTCGTACCTAAACGAGCTCTGCCCCCGACTCGCGTGCTAGGGGCCGCGGACAATGGCAATAGTGCCTTACGTAATTACGTTGATAGCTTTAGCTACCTACTCGCATATGGATGGCATTTCGCGAAAACAATGTTCATGTTAAACAGAACAACTGGCTGATATTCAAATTATTAAATTAGCCAATATCAGATCCGGTTAAAATATGTATCTAACTCTATGTAAGCCATTAAAGATTACTAGCTAATTCTTTTTTTTGCAGAAGGGGGGTTTTAAATGGCATTATGAAACTCTTATATCAGGTTCCTAGTATTCTGTCGACTCTAAAATTTTAAATATTGGTCTCTTAGTTGTGGTTATAGATATTTAAAAAAATTATATGCGTCAACTTCGACGCACGACTGGAATTTACTCTTTATGCACGATTGTTTTTGAACATTCAAGGCAAGGGAATAAATAAATGTATATTTTATAATAGTGTGAAATACATTTATCTACATTTATTTACATGGATACGATAAAATATTATACATAAATCATTTTACATAAAAGGATGTAACTTTGTGAAAATCGCACTCCTAAATAAAAAGTTCTGGGATTATTATTAACTCATTAAATAAATAGATGGTATTCAATTACAATATTAGATACCATTATATGAAAAAATAATTCCTAGATTTGGTTATAATAATGTTGCAAATTATTGAAAACATTTTTTAAAGTTTGATGAAAAAAAAAGGCAGCGGTGGGATTCGAACCCACGTCTCCGAAGAGACTGGTACCTCAAAATGGCGCCTTAGGCCGCTCGGCCAGGCTACCATTGAACTCAGTGTTAAAAATCGCAGTAGAGATCAAATACGTGTACAAAAACGTCACGCTTTTAATTAATGCTTGTATTTTTTCACGCCTCATAAAACTTCCATACTGGACGCCTCATATGAAAATCGAGTCTAAAGGAGGAAATTCCAAAAAATTATTACACTACACTCTTCTGTAATAAAAATAGAAAAGCTTCAAATATTTACGGCATAGTATTGTCACTACATAGTGTACGTCACTATATAGGTGAATTTGTGTGAGTACCGAGTTTTTAAGTAGATCACAACATAGTGTTATGACTTAGATGTACTTAAAACATTTCATTATAGTAGGAAAATAAGAAGAAACTTTAATAAATCTAAACTTCCAGTCAAAAGTTGAAATTTATTTATGTCTCCTCTTTTTTTTCAAGTCTCAATTTTAAATAAATTTTTATGGAAACAAAAAAGTGTCGATGCTTATGGGAATTATCAAGAACCAGATCGCCATAGACATCCAACTGATAACGTGGAGCATTTCGAGCAGACGCCGTGTGAAGTTTTTAAAGTTAGGGCTTACATATGTTTGGACGCCAGTTCACGTCAAAATATACGGACTGGATGCATGCCGCGGTATATCAGGTTTCGCCACCCCTTTTTGCACGCTGCCACATTCACTTTGTTTCATATCGAGGGGCTCTGCAAAGTCTAAGAGCACGATTTAACATGGCTTTCGAAGCGCGGAGCATCAGGTTTAATCTTTGTTAAGTTAAAATCTACCGCTATCGGAATTGGAACCCAGGTTCCTGGGTTCCACTTCAGATAAGGGGCGATATAACTAATACGTTAGATGTGGAGAAACAAATAAATACTAGCCACATTGTGTGAATGTGGCTATTATTTATTTGTTTTTCCGTTAATGTTTTGTTGTGTTTATTATTGAAACTTCGTTTTTGTCAATTACTATTTACTGATGAATAACGTAGACGAGGGGTACATCATAGCGGGCGAGCCATCAGAGAGCAGATGGTCACCACCGTCCATGGACACTCGCGACCTCAGAGAAGTCACTAGTGCGTCGCTGGCTTCTTAGGAGGGAATAGGATTTCTAATGGAAGGAGATCGAATGATGCAAGGGGGAGAAGGAAAGTGGACCTCGGAACTCTCACTCACTGGCCGAAATACAACACCGGAAGTTGCTACTTGACGTCCGCATTCTGTGTGAGAATGGTATTTCACTGGTCCAGCCGGCCTGGTGTACTACAGCCAAGTTGGCCACAGTGTGATTTTATAAAATAAAATTATCATTATTATGATATTAAATTATATATTTACGTAAATAAAATTTATTATTTACATAAGCCAGAAGAACCTATTTTGAAACGAAGAGTCCGTTTTTTAAATTCCATATATTTCTGGGTTACTTACAACCCGGCGTGTTGCCATTCGGGAGATATAAAATGAGTATCTACTTATTTACATTACAATGTGATAAGAATGCAACAAGTCGAGTGTAGAGAAATACTTTCAAGCTTCCATTTAATTATTTTCAATCACAGCATTCCGATCGTTCCAGTCTGCAATTTTTGACCCGCGGCATCGGTATTTAGAAATGAGCGATGTACCGTCAAGCATTGAATTTTGATTGTAGCGCATTAGTCCTGCTTAAACCAAAAAGTTCGTCGTCTTTCGAACTTCAACTCGATCATCTTCATTAGATTATTTCATTCAACCGCCTCTAGTACAGTGTGACATCAAATTGCCCATCGTTGTTTTCAAAATAAATTATTTGATTCGTTTTATACTACCGACGATTCGTCTAGAGAAAAAGGATACCTTGAGAAATGGTACGTATGGATTTACATTTAGCACAGAACAGCTAATGAACTCTTCTGTTTTGATGAGCGCGTTCTACGAACTGTCTTTTCTGGGCCATAATCGCTTTGTTTGTAATATGTACTGAGAGACTAAAAAGAACGCTTGAAAATATCTTACATGCCACTCGAAGATATTTTAAAGTCTTCATTGACTGGGATGTGATCTGATGATAGCTGTTTAGATCCCAATCCATCAGCTAAGTCGTTTAGGTCTGTTATAGGTACTCATTAAAAAAACAGTTAAAATTTTCGAAATGAATCCAAATCCTAACAGTAAGCATTCCACAAGGTCTCATATGTCTCATATTATCAGTTGGTTGTCTATAGCGACCTGGACTTTCTCCATTCCCCTCTGCACAGTCCTCATTAAATCACACTCCGACCAATCCCGAACGGAGCACCGAGGCTTTACAGCGGCCTCGGGTGTAGGATGTTATAAAGGATTTTAAAATTTGTCTCATTCTATCCCTCCTTTATTTATACTTTATACGCATATTAATAATTTGAAAATATACCCTAAAACCTTGCATGAATTGAAATAATGATATCTGAAACCTTCAAGCGATACAACTGACTCTAGTACACGACGCCGTTATTTCGTTCTCAGAGCTGAAGTCGAGGGATAAAACGCAATCGCCTGTTTAACGACTTAATTTTCTCCCTCGCTTCAGGTCGCCCTCCCGCCGTTCGCGTCGTAATCATATCTAATCTTCATAAGGGCATATGATGTCTTTTCATTTACGAAAAACGAAATTGTAAATGTTGCAGTAAAATTAGCGTGAAAAATTATAATTTATTAGCAATTTATCCTTTACTCGGAAACACACTACTCGGAACAATTTTTTTCTCCGCACAAATAATGTGCCGTCATAAAAAATGCGCTTAAAATACATAAAAACTAAACGTTTGGAAGTATTTCCATGTTAGAGAAGGAACATGTATTCATCACGGTGGTCGGATCTACGGCATATCTTAAAGACATTTCTACAAAATACATTATTAGATCTATTTTTACTTAAAACAAATTATGAATAACTCGAATTTAAAATCCGTCGTTCGTTAAAATTTGATTTGCCTTTTAGACCGGGAGATAGTGACATAAAATTTCAGGTCATTTGTACCAGCATGGCGACTCTTAGGGGTCTAATTACCTGATGACGAAAAGGAAAAGCATGGTCAATAGCGCTGGTACCGGCGGCCCCACCGCGGGGGCGTTCATCGAACGCGTCGGACAAGTTACGAGTGTCGAACGACTTGTTCCACATAAATTCTTGTTTTTTGCGATAGTCGATGAAAAAAGCAGTAGGCGGTAGCGTAATGCCATACTTTTCCGGTGCGACTTACAGCCCGCTGTGGCGACGAGAACAGATTGATTTAAAAAAGAAAATCAACCATTAGTACCTGGCTAGTTTTGCACGGCTAATCATCGTCGAGTAGCCACTCACGGAGATCACCAGCCATACTCTTCCGAGGGCTTCGAATGGCTGCCATACTTATAATTTATAGGTACTGATGCAGAAAGCCGCGACGAGGATGAAGAATGCGAACTCAAATATGCCGGGGATTCCAGTTCAAATGACGTTTAAAGTCTATGAAGTTTTGTAAATCTTTCGGAATAAACTGCATTAATATTGGTATTGCATATATTTTTTTACATGCACCTTACAGGTGCGCTATTTCGAAAAATGGTTTCAAGATTCTATTGGTCGTTGACATATTAGAGCTACTGTGGCAGCTCCAGTCCCGCGGTCACGACATAGGTTAATTTTTCAACACCAAAAAAAACCTTTCAGAAAATTATTTTTTCGAGCATGGTACTACTTTGGCAGTTCACCATAAGTATGATATAATTTTCCCAAAAAATAGATTTTTTTTTTCAAATTTCAGAAATTATAAATGCCATACTATAACAATTCGTTCCAATTCGTTTTACAGTTTGGCCCGAGTGTGACAGTCTTCCACCCCATGGTTACAGTAAAGGGACAATTTTTTTAGCTAGAATTTTATCAAAGCAAACCGAATACAATGATGCCATACTGTAGCAAATGATTTTACTTATTGTACAGTCGTATTTTGAGAACGTGTCGAATAAATAAGTTTTTCAAGTATGGCACCACTTTTTCCTCCTACTAGAAGTTTGGCAAATATAATTACAGTCACATTCTATCGTGTACTCTCCAAAAACCAAATGCCATACTAGTGCAAATCGTTTTGCAATACTCCTTTTGCGTCCGTACGGCAGCTATTTGAAACCGTTGGAAAAGTATTGTGTGATGACTTCCGTGAGTGGCCAATCGACGATGATTAGCCGTGCAAAATTAGCCTGGTACTAATGGTTGAATTGTTTATTTTAAATCAATGTGTTCTCGCCGCTACGGCGGGCTGTAAGTCGCATCGGAGAAGTATGGCATTACGCTGCCGCCTACTTGTTTTTTCATCGACTATCGGTAAAAACAATAATTTATGTGGAACAAGTCGTTCGACACTCGTAACTTGTACGACGCGTTCGATGAACGCCCCCGCGGTGGGGCCGCCGGTACCAGCGCTATGACCATCCTTTTCCTTTTCATCATCAGGTAATTAGACCCCTAAGAGTCACCATACAGGTACAATTGACCTGGAATTTTGTGTCACTACCTCCCGGTCTATTTTGTCAACGGATGTCCCCGCCGACGAGCACAATCCAGATGAGGCGACGCTACGAAGACTCAGAAACGACAAAAAGATTCGTTTTCGAAAATCTTTTGGCTGTACCTACTTCGAATTATATTGCAAATCGAAATACGTTAACCAAAGTTCCTGTAATTTTGTAAATGTTGAGTATTGATTATGTTCCATCAAGATATAGTTTGAACCAATATAATGATAGAGTAAAGTATGGTGTTTGAATTTGTTTTCTTAATTAAAATGTCCAATCGATTGATTATCTACTACTGTACGGTCGTCTGCCAAATTGGTTGCATCGACAATGAAAATTAGAGATACATATGTTACTCTCTTTCGAAGCGGTGGTAGGCGACTGGTGAGAAGGGTGCCGGCTTTTATTACCACCACTTACCACTGATGAATCAAACGATGAATTTTCAACTTGAATCTAATTAAATCCCGTGCTTTGCGATTCGTAAAGATCGCAAAGCCTACGGCT